GAGATTAAATAAATTTTGCAATTTATCTCCTCACCAATAGATTTACTACTTTGATTCAGATTTGTATTGCTATTTATTATTTTTACAAGCATCATTTGAATATTTGATGAAGATACAAATTGTATTGCTTGCTTTTATGATTCTACAAACATTTGATCAATTGACTAGCAATTTTTTGTTTAACAAATTTAAGAATCTAATATGAATATGTGCAACGGAATGAAATTATTCCTTTTGATCATTTCTCCTTGTTTCAATTTTTTATAATGATAAGATAATTGATGGCTTACACATTTTTCAATTGCAAAGAATTATCATGGAATTTTATTTAAGCTAAAAAGAGTATAGACTTTGTATATATTGGATGTAATTGAAATTTTTTTCTTGAATTTGTGAATGTTTTTTAATATATTAATCCATATCAATCCATGTAATACTGAATTGACAAATTATATCTACAACACATTTGATAATCTTTAATTGAAGTATACTAAGTGTGGTTGCTAACAATAATTTATAATAGTCATATGTGAGACAAGGAATTTGGCATGAAGATAAACATATTCTTATTTGATACACATAAAAGATTATTGTTCCTTGAATCATTCTATACTAACACTATATCTGCAAATAAGATATTTGTCTTATGATCTACATCTTATATCTTGAAAAATAATAAGACTATCAATCTCTATAATCTCTTTGGATGAAATTGGAAAAGTTTTTTTGTCTATAATCTTGCAAAGAGAAGATACATGCTTGTGCATCTTGATGAGAACATGTTTTAAAGCTTTATAACTCACATCCATTACATACTTCAAAGTCTGAGGTTGAGTTTTGCGCTAATCCACCCACATGCGTCTTCATCACTTACTTGTCTCATACTATCTCAGATGATATTGGAATCTACATGATTACACAGTAAAAGGTAGAAGTTATGTATTCATCAAATATGTGAATGGTAATCACCTAAAATGCAATTTGAATCCATCTAATAAGTGAAACCATGATTTAAATAGAGATAAAATGCTTCATATGACACGGGAAACATCTTCTCATATGAAACAATAGTTGATATGTCTTGCATTAAGGCCGTACATATACTTGGATTCGCGGGATAAGAATACTATACCAGAAGGTGTTACTACATATCTTACCCTCAAATACTAAGATAGTGGTTATATCCACCGTCATGAATTAGCTGTTACTGTATCAGCAACCTCCAAGGCATTCAAATATATCTATACGAGAGTATGATCATCTCTTTGTTCTACTAACCCTGGAGTTAAATTTATGATTATCATATCTTACAAAATTGTGAAAATTGTCGAAGAGCATAAAGATCAATATATATAATAAATATTTGAAAAATATATGTGCTGTGGAGCTTATTCTCATTTCTCTACAAGAAAAGTTCATGGTGAAATTACGTATCTAAAATCAATGCATTTGATGCTTCTTAGGATAATTCCGCGGTGTCAAGGCTATGTGGAGATGATTATTGACATATCATAAAAGTTGTATAAACTATAATTATTTACTCCAAAGATTTATCTTTGCAATGCTATTAGAGCCTATACCTATCCTTCGCTTGGGGACTCTCAAAGGTTCTTCTCATCAAAGTCCACAAGTGCCTTCTTGCGATATTACTGGGTTCTCTATTGAATTTACTGTTGCTTTTAATGACGTTTTTTGTTTTCTCGCCTGCATCGTTTGGACGTGAGATGATGCCACTTCTGCAGATGGTGCGAAGGAACGAAGTGACATGGAGGATTACATGTTCATGTTTCAGCATCTTCTAAATATCTTCACCACAGACACGTGCATCTCATTGCAACTGCCCAAATTATGCTCTTTTGAAGATGGTTGCAGTTTGGAGGCTAAGTTTGCTGCGAATGAAAGCATCCGAAGGTCACAAACTCTTAAAAACAGCGTCTCCACCAATTATCATGAACTACTTTCGAATCGAGCATCGTGGGCTCAGACTATCTGATCCGACGTAATCATCCAAATCACTGCAGCTGTTACCAAGTTCCCAAGGCTGAAATATGCCTCCTCCTTATCACGTTACCCTTTGGACCCGAAATGGAGAAATGAAAACCGCGTCACCTACTGTAATTATTCGGACCCTTCCTGTTCAGTGCACAGCAAAAAGCTCGATTTATTGACGCATCTGTACCGGGTTCCACACTGTTACTAAAGTTCACTGTTTCTGGGCTCTCCGAGCAGTCTCAATGCATCTGTTTCACGAATGATTGTCGGTGTAATCAAACTCGTTCTTGGATTGGAGTCTCTGTTCTCGCTAATGAACAAGAAAAGTTTGGCTTCTGCTTCAACGTACGTCCCGTTTATTTGTCCAAAGTGGATAAAGCTTTTGACTTGGGCCAAAAGAATCCTCGTGCAATATAGAACAATTTCCAATTTCAGAGTCTTCTGACTCTGAAATTCGTCCTCTCTCCACCACAGAACGTTTATGGAAGTTTGTCGTGGTTTACATCATCGGAATGCGCACTTACGGTGCTTTAAGTGAGAGGAATTGGACGACGGGTAGTGTCCACGGACACAAGCATCGAAGGCGTACTGTCAGGACGATGCCAAACATCTTCGACGTATAACACATCAAACAACTCCAGTTTCGAAGAATACATACTAACGATGATAATTAGGAGGCGTATTCCAAGTAGAGCGGGGAAGTAAAGAACTAACGAAAAAAACATGGGAAGACTCCCAAGCCCGACAAACAAATATGAGATCACAAAGTGAGATATCTCATTTCGAAACATAACCTTTCCTTCCACAAACAATCCTTAGGTCAGTAATCTTCTGTGCACAACATGAAGATGGATGAAAATGGTTTAGATCCCAATAAAATCCCAATATGAAACACATCCTTCAACAACTCAAGATGTCCTTCTACAAACTATCCTTAGCTTTGGTAGCATCAACTAGTGAGTATTCTGAGAGGTATCAACTAGAGTGATTATTTTGCTTCATGTTCTATCAGCGAAATTTCTTTGTGAATAATTGGAAACTAAAATGTAAATGAAATGATATCTCTGCAGCCAAGTGTGTCTTTTGCGCCGACATGAAAAAAGTAGCATTCATAGGTATATAACTCTTGCATGTTAGAGTGACGAAGAAATGACATGTCTCCACAAATATATGCTTAGATGTATTGGCTTGTGCCCCTTCGCTAGCCACCATCTTCAAATATATACAATTGTATCCATTGGTGTATTGTATCACAATACCTTCACACTATACATTTCAAAGTGTAGTTATTGAAGGGCTCTTCAAAATTTTCATACGTGCATTCTGGTGTCTCAGTAAGGTCACCATGATCTCACTTCTGTATACTTTTCTTGACCTTTTGACATTACCAAGGTCTGTACCACCAGACGAAACAGAAATGTTACGGTCTGACAGTGGTGATGACCACCTAATCCGCCCAAGCAATGGATCACATATTCTTTAGCTGAGTCCTAACTGTTGACATTGCCAGATTCGACGACCGCCACCATGCGATCCGTAGGCGCACCGCCTATTTGCAACTCAGTGGAACCATGACCCATAGTAGCTTGGAAATGTGATTAACTACTCGCTCTGCTGCTTAGAGAAGTACACAAGAGGGATGACTGCGTGGAGAAGTCAATCATGTATTTTACGATACATGGCCTCGTGTGCTGTGGTGTGTTAATTCGAGTCGCCACGTGTAGTCATGTGATATATCATGTGCATTTCAGTCCTCGCACTGTACTTACTTACAGCAGAATCGCCTTCTCGCTAGATTAAAACAATCACAAATTCACAAAATTCATAAAGAAACCTCCCAGTCATCTACACAGGTCAAGATCTTACACATTCTAAGCCCTGTGCAGGTATCTGGCTCATGAAGGGAGCACAGTAAATCAAGCACTTGCTCACAAAGCCCCAACTTTTCAACATTCATACCTTCAACTTCGGAATGTCTATCTTGAATCCTATAGCTACTGGTATCAACCCTTAGATTCTTTGTGGCCTCTAGTTGGCCAGTCCTGAAATCTTTTCCTTCATTCAGGATCACCTTGGTTTGGGCGATCGGCTACGGTGGCCGGCTTAGAATTTTCCTAAGCCGGCCACAGAAACATCAGAGAATCCAATTAAACGCATCACAGTATACAGATATGTTACTCGTGGTTTGGCACACCATTCTTCGTCACTTTCAGGTTTTGATTCTTTAGCTGCCAAAGCGAGGAGCAGTTTCTGTATTATTTCGCCGGCTTCTAATCTTAGTCCGTAAGACCTTCTGTAGATACAAGTATCGCCTTGCATCCTTGCCTATGCTGTCCAAGAAGCTGCTCTCTGCATTCTCGAGCAAATTATTGGTATTGAGTCATGGGCGATATTTGGCTTCCTCCTCTTCCACTTCTAAAGGATGAGGTATTAACTTGAATAAAAGGCGGATTCTCCAGGTGAGCTTGTGCACGCCAAAGAGGGCACCCTTTCAATTCTCTCCAGGATAAGCATGCCACACATTCCAACGTAGATGCAATATTCAATCCAGATGGATTTCCAATTCTTCCGTGATCGATGGATTGAAATGAAAAGAAAAATTATGGTGGATGACTACTGATTGGAGCACTCAAAGCTGTATCGGTAAGAATCGGTTTCTGACAAGGCGAAACGCGAAGCTACTGACTCAATGGAAAAAGGTAACAATGCTTAAAACTGTGATGCAATGAGTGGAAACAGGAGAGCGTGGAATCAAAGATAAGGTGAGTCTTTTACGGAACCTCATTGTTAGCAAGAAAATTTCGATTTATATCGGAACTTCAAATTATAACCCAAAGAGGAACCATAAAAAACATATTGGCAAATGACCTACATCTGTGAGTTTAGTCAAACTGAGATGATCGAAACGGCCCGAAATAATGTGGGTGCCATTTGGGTGATCAAAACAGTACTAACGACTGGAGAGAGTAATGACTGGAGATGAAAATTGTAATAAAAAATACGAAGTTACGTTATATTTCTTACAATTGACAGCGTGGGACTCATCTATTTTGATACCATCACAGAACACAGCTTGACTATACATTTCGCTTCTGGCTAGAATACAATGCAGCAGAAACATAAAATCACAACAAGACTCGATGATACGAAAGTTAATCCGCTACGAATAGAAAATGTGTTTCTTCTTTACGCAAACACATCCTCGCCGCATTCAAATTGTGTGTGAAGCTGGAGAAAGGGTTGAGGCTGTGCGTGTCGCATCACTAATTCCCACTCTCCACCTGCATCAATAATTATTATGATTTTCAACGAGCTGACCAATAATACAGCTCTCAAACCCTTCTCAACAAAATAGAAATCGCTGGGTTTGGTGGTGCGGCTAAGTTTAAGAGTCTGACAACTGATAGGAACATGTCAGGACGTTATCCATGTCCTGGAAACTGCCAAAGACATTCAGCGTCTAACTTGGAACACCTTCAGACCAATTTGTCAGCGAGGAGACTCACCTCACGAAGAAGAAATCGTACGCCTGATTGAACACCCAGGTCGACACCCTAAGAGCAGTGCTTGATCATGCGTTGAAGCTGGTCGAGCTCCTGGTGCGTGCAAGTAACGTACGTTTACGCGCTAACAACCTACACAACATACAGTCGTAGAGAGGACGGAGCGGAAGAGACAATGTTGAAAATACGATTGCACTTCGTAACTAAGCTTATGCGAGGAGCATACAACTGACCTCGCATAAGATTTTTTTTTATACATAAGACAAGAAATAAGAAACGCATAACTCCATAACTTCCTACCCTACTTCCAGTTGATGAACGGGGAATCCTCGTGACGGCTAATGCTCGGATCTTCGTCTAAACTAAAGGTTTCAGGCTTGGTGCGAAAGCACATAAACTATATGGATTAGGAATGAAGTCCATTGGTGGTAACCAGGTGAGTACATTTGTACGGGAATTATATTCGACCACCTTGTGGGACAGGTCTTCAAATGCTAAGCTATCATATACAGTGTACAAGCACTCCCCTTCAGCAATACTCTTACTGGGATGATGAGTTCCTTCACTTGCATCGAATATCAGATCTACCAATCCGAGATTCTCGACATGAATTAATTGACGGACCTCTAGTCCTAATGACTGGAGGTCGCTTAACCCTACATTCTCATCGAAATTATCCCTGTCAGACCAGTCCAGCAGCAGAATGTTTCCATCATGCGCAGTGATATGGAAATCGGAGGGCAAATCACAGGGGGTGAGCTCTTGCACAACTGCCCATACATTGGTCTCCACATAATATTTCAATAAAGCTTTGATGATCTGATTACTGCTGGACTCGTAAACATGCCAATAGAGATTACCACCACAGCATAAACCTCTCTCGCTGATCCATTCTCCATTGGTTAATGAGGTTGCCATGGGAGGTACACTGGCACATCTCTGCCAATCCTTCAAGGACGAGTCATAGATTAGAGCATCTCGTGGCCCATCTTCATGTATTCCTGCCACGAGTAGCTTGTAAACTCCTGTGTCCCGATTCACAGTCAAGCCGACGAGCATGACGCTGAATGGATCTTGAAAAATTGCACCCCGAGGAAGTCTAGGAAGAACAGATGAAGGCAACTGTATCTCTCTCCATCGTTTTGACAGCGGATTATAGATAATGAAGGTGTCAGGGTTGTAGTCACTGCTGAACACCAACAAACCTCCATCAGAGGCAACAAGATTGTTCTTCTCGTCTGAAAATGGAAGAGACTCTCGCTTCCAGGATTTGGAACCGTAGTTCGGGAACAAAAGAGAAGGTGGTAGTCTATCTCCCCCTGCTACAAGAGGACCGCCAGGGTGATGATAAAACAGCACTGGCTTCCCAGGTGGCCCTTCGTACACAATCCGAGGAGATTCTATCATGGATTTCCACTGTGAGCACACGGCACGAAATGACAAGAGGCTTGTGAGGGGGAGCTTGGCGAGCACTTTTTCCAACAGTTCAGGAGGAAGTCTGTCCCACAACTCTGGATCTAGCTCGGCGTTCCTTTCCTCCATGTCGTAAAAAACGAATACTGCACACACTGCCAAAAGCATTTCAGTTTTCAAATCCTCAGCAATGTCTTCCACACTCACGCTCTTAGGCCAATTTGCGACACTCAACGCCGTCCGAACGCTGTGGCAGATAGGCATCAGGGTCAAAACGTGTTTTATCTTCTCTCTACATTTCCATACGCCAAGTTGTTCCCCGTAAAACATTGAGAAAGGACAGTACCGAAACGTTAGGCAATACCAGTGGTTTCAGACTGCTCCAACAACTTATGTTCCCTTACTCCCGAAGAGAATTGGAACGCCGTTGTGCACGAGTACGACTGATCCATTTCGCGGAGAGAGAGATGAGCTTGCTTCGAATTCATTGACACAAATCCAGTCTTTGTTTGATCCTAGATTCATTCACTTGCACAGCTGGAAGGACAAAAATTGCGGCCTACATACTGAGTTGCGACTGTCAGAAATCAAGCGACTCGAATATCTTAAGTAGCCGATCTAAAGTTTGGAGAGATGGACACACTTCCATACGAGCTCTGATAGGCAGACGTAACCTCACAAGAAACTTACATTGAACCAGGAAATGAGGAAGACGAGAGTGGACGTCAGAGGAGATCCAGATCTGCCTTCAGTTCCAGCTGCCGCAGAAATGCACTTGATTTTGGACCCCGACTTCGAGATCCTAGAAACTCATCACAATGGACAGAGATCTCAAGTTGCCCAACATCAACGAGGAATGTCGAGAAGTATAAGCAGGCAAGCAAGCAAGCACGCACGCACGCTCGGCAGTCGTTCTCACGAACAAGTTATCCCCAAAACGCAGGCACTGAAATCTTCAACCTCAAGAAGATCGGCGATCCACTACGACACTCCTGGAAATCACGAGAAGAGAATCTATTCGCAATTGTACCAGAGTCCTTCAATTCCGTGGCAGTGGTAAAGAACGAGGCCGGGGAAAGTGGAGCCTGGACAATCTCAGTTCCAGTTTCTAGGCTCATTCGTCCTCAAGTGGCCTCATATAATTTTTATCCATTACGGGCGGTGGTCGGCTGTGCTTCCAGTCCCCATAGCAACGGCTGGCACACTCAGGACGAATCCATTCGTGAATGAACTTCGCATTCATCTTTCATCCACTCATTTCCAGTTTTGTTTATATCCAATTTATTGTACACTATGCATCACGAGATTTTGGCATAATGGAAGGTATTTTTCCCAATTTTCCCTATAACATGTCTATAAGAGTATAATTGAATCGTAATTTTCTAATATCAGTGTCAATATATATTTTCTGACGTAATACTAACAGTTATTACATTGAGAATATCAAAATTAAGGATTAAATTATGATGATACGAGGAGCCATAAATTGATACAGTACATTTTAGTTTTAGGATCAATAATATAGTTTGAAATACACATAGTTCAATTGGAACATACATATATTTATGACAATTTATTTATTTACGCTAGGTGAATGATGATTATCAAATGAAGCCTCGTTGTCATGTATAATCTTTGATTTTCTGAAATAGCTTCACAACATGCACAACTTTTTATAGAAGTTGATTGATTTGGATTCGAAAAACATGATCTTCATAATACAACATTATGTTTTCAAATTATATAACTTTCGCTCATGTTTTACACTCAGATTTCATTGGGATAACTATCATTCCTCATCTGATTTAAGAACCAATCTTTTCGTCATCCACACCTTATTCCTCATGTGCAGTCATGGTTATTTTAAGCTAATGTATACCAAGGCGCCTAAATTAACCCGCGTATCTACATTCTTATTGGTTCAGAATTGGACTGTGGTAGATCTAAAGATCTGATCCATTCAATTTGTTATCACGTCAGTCTCATAAGTCAACGAGGTCGGAATACGACATTGTAAATAAATTTTGTTCCAGAACGACTGCATTCCTTACCACTCTCTCTCTCCCTTTGCTTCCCAACCTTTAATTAGTTCTTAGGTGCACTCGATGTGACTTTTAGCACAAAAGTGCATAAATTAACTAAATTAAATTTCTTGAAGCGACTTAATTAAGCATATATAGTTGATTTAGGTTACCGACTAATATAACCCTGCCTGCTTATGTGCATTGTTTACTATTCCAAGTCTATGTTTATGTACTCTAACTTTTACCAGTAATGAAATATACTCATGGAACAATACCATGATGTTGTTTGATTTGCAAGCACACAATTTAATTTATATATATGTAACCTCCAAATTATATTCCCATTAAAATGCTTTACAAAAATTGTTTGTGCTCCAATCTACACATAATGTTAGTGAAGGCGAATGTGAAGTGTTTGGACTTCACCGATGATGCAAGTGATTGCAGGTACTTCTAATAAACTTGCTGCTGAAACATAGCCAACTTCAGCACAATAATTTAATTTGAAACTCTAGTTACTACATTTTGATTTTAGTTAGAAGAGAAGAACATAGTCCTCAAACCATCTTTCTCCTTCAAGAAAATTCACACTTTATTTTCTTTCAGTAGATCATAAGAAGATAAGAATATGTTTTATCTTGTCTTTTAACTTGTTGAAAATGTTGTATATGCTCTGCTTGCGCACATCCACACTGGCTGCTTTTTCCATAATTCCTGATAACTTGCTCGTGTAAGAACTTACACATTGAATTCTTGACCAATAGTTGTAAAATTATTCTTATTTATTCATCCATGAGCACTAGGACATTGATGTATACAAAAATCTTGCATGAGTTTTTTCTCCAATTTCATATTTTATTTTACAAATTAATCGTAACATAATGATTTATCATCTCTTGTATATTGTAGCTATATCTTCCTCAATCATGAATTCTTGTGGCTTTCTACTTCAAAAAAAACCCTCACCCTCAATTACTATAAACTAGCTGCAAAAGTAAACATGAGGTAGATTACTGTGGCGCGTAATAATCAAGAACTCATCCTAATTCGACCAATTCAATGATTGCGAACATGAATGTAGATTACTTACTTTCTTGAAGTTTGTTTGTTTCTTTTTTCCACAAAAGATAGAACCTTTTTTAACCAAGCAGCTCTAAACCATTGAAAAGGGTGCTTTATGTTAAGTTGACTGAAAACGACTAATTCCATCCTTGTTATATATATTCTTTATAACAAACGTCAAACTTCATGTAGATTAGAATCAGCGCCTGCAAGCCGCAGCATATTTGCCGACTGTTGGGCTGTTGAGTCATTTCACCATACTAACAATTTCAGCCGCCTTTCTCATCTTCCATTTTTCTCTCTGTTCATTTATTTTCAATTTAAGCAAAACACGCATCATATATCTATTTATGAAGAATGATTTATGCATGAAGAATGATATGTGCGTACTAGACAAATAGCCATTTTGTACGCTGTAATTAATGTTGTCAAGTGAACGATTTCTTCCGTTCAGTGACAAATGCATGACTATTTTGATCGCGTACTTGCCTGAACCCATAATATTGACTAAACATATTGTTCGACATGGCCAGACGGTTTTAACAAAATGGTTAAAGCACATGACTGCAAAAATAGACCCTCACACGATTTTATTTAATCCACTCTTTTAGAATGTACCGTAATTATGTAGACAACATCATTCGTGAATGAGTTTTGTTAGGTCTCCCGCTCTTGTTTAATGTATTGTACACTAATATACATTAGATCATTGATACTCCCTAGTGAAGGATAGAGAAAGACGGATTAAGGACCAAAAAATTAAGTACTCTCTTCAAAATACACCTTCATACTGTGGAAAAAGGAAGTAATATCCTAAATCTAAAATGACCAAACCTAATGTAAAAAGTAAGAAATTACCCTAAACCTAAATCAACCTAAAAGTAAGAACCTAAACTCTAAATCTCATCACTGCCTCAGTAGAGCTGACAGCTCTTTGCTCCTCAATGAAAACTCCTTACTAAGAAGTTTGAGAACTTATTATAAATTTCGTAAATTTTCTTTGAAAACGCCAATGGGTCACATAGGTTCCGACCTTCAAGGCCGTAACTCGAGTCCGCATAATGCAAGTCCGCTTACAAGATTGTGCGCAGAGCACGATCATGATTTGAACAGTATTCTAATCAACTCAAACGAACATCGAACATTTACTCAGATATAATATTCGAGACTGGGATAAATGGCGGGAGAAAAATTTCCAATGTCAGAGCATTTAGATTCAAAATAAATATCATTCATTCAATTAGCTGGAACACGGTCCAAAAGCCAAAACTGCAATCATGCTTGGCCAATGTGCAAGCAACTACAATCAACCTTTGAGCACACCTGTGGACAACCTGGTTCCCATTGCTATGCTTTACTTCGCGGAGTACATGAATTTGCGCTGTCTCCTTCAAAAGTGAATAGTCGGCACAGAGCCAGCATTGGAGAAACATCACTCTCCGTTCCGACTGCATAATACCGGCTCTCTAACAGATGCTGATGTAGACAATTATCTACACTAGCAGCAGTAACCCTTACTGTAACCGACCAATGTACAAAATGTCAAAATCTTTTGTCATTTTACACTGTACAAAATCTTCCAATCTGGACGTTGATTCTTCTAACTCATCCTCGCGGATTACAAACCTAGGTCTGCCGTTTGGGTCTCTGCCCTTCAGTTCCGTATTGTGAAAACTTCAGCTGATCTGTGTGGATTTACGAATCACGCTCTGTTTGTTCTGATCCACTAGTTTTATCTACTCTCGTAGACTCGTTCTGACTTCGACGATGTATCTTCTGGTCAGTAGTCTATATGTTCAAATTTTGACGTTTAGCGCTTTCTGACCAGCGCAATATACAGTTGTAGCTTTTGAGCATTGAAATCCGGTTAGTTTGTCAGCTCATGACATGATTGTTATTCTACGACGTAACTCCCGCAAGGTTTCAATAATGGTTTCTCTACAGACGGGTGAGAAAGGACTCAAACGTAATAAATCATGCCGACCTCTATGAGGCAAAGATGAGGTATGCTGAGGTCGATTCCGGGACCTCGACAATTTGTCCTAAGAAAGTTGTAGGCATAGTCAATGGCAAACCTTTTGAACCAAGATGACGCATTCTTCGCCTTCACGTATGAGTGGCCAAGCACATAAGCGACTCCCGCTTCTCTGGCCGAGTACAGTTCTGCCAACTCTTCCCCTACCACGGGATCAACTTCAGGGTTCACATCAAACCTCACGACCTTTTTCTTCCTCCCCAGCGCATCCGTTCCTTCCCCGTCGACAGTACTCTGCGAGCTCTGAAACGACTTCTTTCTTCCGAGAGAATCAGTCTCCTCTTGATCGTCAGGTTCCTCCAAGTTCGAGAAAGACCTCTTCCTTCCGATAGATTCAGTACCTTCCTCGTCAGCAGAGTCCTGCAAAGCTAATAGAACCTTCTTCCTTCCGCGCGCGGCAGCATCTACCTGGTCCTGCAGGGCCTGGAAGGACCTCACGGTTGTGGTACCACTTCCAGAACTATGAGTATCGCTGCAATCAGAGGCCAGTACTTTGATGCCATGATGAGCAGCAAAACTTGTGAACGTCCTATGTGTGTCTTCCGCCTCTGCAGCCGAGTTCTCGCTGCTGGATGGAAACCAGACGTCTCCGCTGCCTTCAAATTGAATGAATTGCGCAATGCTATCAACCAAGTTCTTCTCAAAATTGTGGTCTTCTTCGTGGACGTCCTTGTAGCCATACCTCACAATACAACGATACATCCGGTACTCCTTGGGGCCTATTCGCCCGACAAGGTACCGCTGCTCCACTTCCACGTGAGGTACTGGCACAGATTTAATGCACACAAAGACGAGCACTTTGTGAAAGGCTGGAAGATTTGTAACAAAATGGGTAAAAATAGCTGGGACTCCTGTGACAAGCTCCGTGTAGATAAGTCCCATTCCAGGAACACGAACAATACCCAAGCTGGGCCCCAAAGTGAGAATCCACTTCATTGACACTTTGTTCTGGATGTCGAATTCGTACTTCTTCGTCGTGCCGTAGTGCCAACAGTACATTACGAGCATAAATACGGCTGACAGAACTAGAGGAACCCAACCCCCTTGTGGAACCTTCATGAAAGAGGAAGAGATGTAAAGTAACTCGATAGAACCGAATACAAGGAAAAAGGCAGCTGCGACGAGGATGTGCTTTCTCCATACAATGACAATCACCAAAGACATCAAAAAGGTCGTTACGAGCATGACAGAAACAACAGCGATCCCTGCAAACGAAGCACAAACAGATCAGGACAACGTTGTAAGGAAGTGTATATTGCATGACTAAAGTAACCGACTGGCATCAAAGGCTCCGAATACTCGACATACAAAACTTTCAAAACTTTCACATCCATCAGGCAAATAAAGTGAAAAGTATACGTGGGACACGATTACACACCGTAAGCATTCCCAATTTGGGTGGTATCTTTGAATCCAACTGTCACTGCAAGGCTCAGAATGAGAAGAAGCCAATTCATCTCTGGAATATAGATTTGACCGTGGATGTGGTTGGAGGTATGAACGACCTTCACGCGAGGAAAGCATCCAAGGGACTGGCATTGTTTGATGATGGAAAAAGTTGCGGAAATAACAGCTTGACTCCCGACAACTGCCGCAAGCGTGGCAACTACCAGGACAGGCCAGTAAACGGGCTCTACAGAAGAATCAAACCCAAACTTTTGTAAGAACAAACTCCAAAGAACTAGGACTTACAAAATCTTGCAAAGGCTTGCACAACCCAAACATACTACTGCTTCTGACTTACTAAGAACTTGAATCGAAATAAAATCAGCTTTCGTTCCCATATCATTTAACGAACAAAAGAAAAGTGAGAACTCATGGCACCCATGTACAAGATATGCTGTTTACATCACAATTCTCATCAACCTCAACAGGAGCTCATTGCTTGCAACATCTAGAGCTACTACGTCGAATTCTTGGACAGGAACTAAGGATGCTAGAAGGTTCACTTGTCTTACTTGGTATGGACATGTAGAAGGTCCTTCCAATATGCTCGGGATGCTTTGATAAGTAAGCCGCTTGGCCCATGTACGAAAGAATGAGGCAGGGGTACACGACACCGGTGAAAGCGATCTGCGCACAAAAATGTTTTCTGAAATTGTAAAGCCATGGCTTTGTAAATGTCAAATTAGGTTTCATCAGGAAATTCGTGGCAATTGAAGTATCATCAACACCCCAATTCCTTCGATTTTGTGCTCAGAACAGACCGGAAAAGCTTCCTAACTGGGAAATTGGAAGCAGTAAGAGGTTAACTAACCTTGATCGACAGCTGCGAAAAATGACCCAGGTCTGCGAACATTGCCTCCGTACCTGCATTGAATGTAGCTAGTTTTTCATCCACTGAAGAGTAGAAAATACAGGTAGCTTGATGTGTGGATGCTATCTGTTTATCTACCAAGTGGACAACTAAGCAAAAGACTTTCAATTTGAATTTGATATATAACGATAACAGTGATAGAGGACAGGCACTCACCCGTAATGCAGAGTGCGACGCCTCCTAAAGCGACCCAACCTTCCTTGCCGCATACTTTGAAAAAATTCCACATGTAATACGGTGAAAGGGCTCTAAAAACACCCGGCTGATGGTGAATGACATTGTAAACTCCTATTCCGCTAATACAGAGGAGCCAGGTAATCACGATTGGAGCGAACATAAATGCCACCTTATGGGTTCCGTAGTGTTGTAAGTAGAACAAACACACCAGGATGATGCAAGCGAGAAACACCATCCAATCTGCCAAACGTATGATGCACATAGTAAGAATTTGAGACCAGCTCCGGCACAAACCTGGGTTCAACTCCAGAACGTAGTTGCAATGTGCACATGTTGGCATGTAAGGCATGAGAGTAAAAAAGGGATTTTCAGTCGCATTATGAGAAGACTGGAAAGATGAGAAGTAAGCTTACTGTCATGGATTCCTGGAGCAGCAATCTGGAGACCATTGACTGCGGATAAAACTGGTAAGACAAATAGACACGAAGTTGTGCTCAGTTACCAAACATCAAAATTTGCGCTAAAATATATGGTCTAACAAAGAAGGTAAGGAAGTATATACTCAATATGAATGAACTGTAATTGAAGAAGTTAATCATTGCAGGTTGCGTTTCGTACCTGATATGGAAGGTGTGAGCACACCGTCCCCTATAACCATGCACGTTCCTAGCAGAACAATGATCAAGAGCCCGGTACGCAAGACTTTGTTCTTCTCGAGTAAGGCCTGCATTGCTGCCGCTCGGGGCCTGTGAACAAATGATTGCTCGGGTCCATAATTCGAAAGCTCCTCATCAACAGACTGTTGGTTGGGTAGCAAGCTCAATTTCGCATGCCTACACAACAATGAGTAAAGCGCAAATGTGCCACCTGGAAAGACGGTATGAATGATGATGATGAAGTAAGTTAACTCCGAGCAGCGGAAAGTTTACAATCAACTGCACTCGCTTTCTCGCACAACCTAAATTTACAGGTAATCACAAAAATGCTTTAGTCAGAAGTCCTGCAAATGGACGATTTGCTCGAGCCATTGACGTCTTCAACAACGAGTACACACATGGTAATATAATGGCAACAAAAGTCGGATAAAGTCGCTCAATGACGGTGAACAAAAGCTCATCGACAGACCTATCGTAGGAAAGAATAAGCACTGGAAGTGTGCTTTGAGGAATATAAAATACCTTCTCCGTTGTCGTCCGCGCTCAACACAATGAGAACATATTTGATCAACGGCACCAGAGTCAAAGTCCAAAATATGAACGACAGAACCCCGTAGATCACGGCTTCCTCCTCGTACTTTCGAAGAGCACCGGAAAAAGCGCTCTTGTATACGTAGAGCGGAGATGTACTGAGATCTCCATACACTACACCAAAACTCTGATAAGCCAAACCCAAGACCGCGAAGTAGGAAGTTTTCTGCAAATCCTGCAAAAAAAATAACCTGTGATTAACGGTTTTTCCCCGCGCCTTCAAAAATATCAATTACCACATTGCCGATGAGGTCTAAAGAACAACCATGACACTCCAGCTTTCACTGATCACCTGTAACACCGCTAATCCACCCCGGTGATCCTGAAGTAAGAACGGTGTGTAACGATTCGGTATATTAGGTGGGGTGATCGAGTAGCTCAGCGTCTGGAATCCAAGAAGGCCAAGACTTTCCCTCGTCCCGTTATGTTTACTACGAAGTGTTCGCAACAGCTTGCGCCTCCAGACTGGTGAAATCCAGCTCGAAAACTCCCAAGCTGACAGAGAGCTATCAGCCAGTCATCTTACGGAGTACTTCCGTCTCTCCGTACAAATTGATGATGGGCATACGCTATGGCTCTCTCGAATCCCGCAGGTTGTTACAATTTCCGAGAAGCGCATTCCGCAATGAAATTCTTCGGCACGATATACCGACAAACTCGAGAATTTTGGCCGACCATAGATAACAGATTAACTTTATGTGTATCAGTCAAAGATATTGGAATACCCCGCTACATTCAGGCGTCGGCTGTCGATATTATCCATCCAACATCAATTTACAAAACAAAATTAGCGACCTGTACGATGAAAAGAGCAGTCATGACAACGAACCTGGAACTTCTGGCCTGCGCCGTACGCTCCACGCTCAAGATCCATCGGAGCAGAAAACTTCCGAAGAATTGACGTAAGGTTTAAGAAACAAGGAAACGAAGACGCCTACGAGCAGATGGATGGCCTAATAAAACTAGCATGTGCGCTAGTCGGCATAGAATGTGCCGCATCACCACGTTTTGCAGCCTCTGTCGTGGCCTACGCACACACTTCCTCCAGCCGGAGGAAGAAACCGCTTTCTCAAGGAGCAAACTGTGGTCGAGTGTCAGGCCGCGGATGTGACAGTACCAGGAGCAGGCGGGAGGACGGAGAGCGGGCACGGAGGCGACTGGACGCAAGAGTTGTCACGGAACACACTCGCAAAAAAAACACAGGCGTACTGGGACTCCGGTCATCGACATGATTCTCCCCCAAGCAGCTGTGAATTTATCAAGTATCTATCAGAGATCGGCCGGAGAAAACGGACAGCAAATGACAAGCCCGGCATCAGCGAAACGAGGCGACCTGAGGCATGCAGGCTCTCTCCATCCCCTTCTCTCTCTCTCTCTCTCTCTCTCTCTCTCTCTCTCTCTGAGAAGGAACAGCAGTCGCTCCACAAAAATGCCGCTGGCCTACGAGGCCTGGAAAGCAAAGTCACTACTGGGCAAAGAAAACGGAAGTACAGTAGTAGGCGGAGGGGAGGACATACAACAGACACACACAAACTTCCATGTACGGGATAGATGACATCAGTGAGAAAGGTGACTTTGCTCGGAGGGAGGCGAAACGCAGAGGAGAAGAGATTTCACGCATCCGGGCGACGACAGAAGAATCAATCGCGCACAGCAGCTCTCAGGGAAGGGTTACGAGCCGGGCAGTGGACAATCTCAGCGAGACACACATTCGGGCTGGGTTGTTCTTCTGCGACAAACCCAGGTTTTACTTTCCACTCGCCGAGCCCTCTCACTTTCTTAGAGGCGATCATTTGCGGCCCTATAATGTCCCTCGGCAGATCCACCTGCGGCTGCTGACACCGATTCGCTCCTTCCTTCGTCGTTCTCCACCTCTCCTGACTCGCCCCAGCCTTCGTCCCCACTCCGCTCGATTTCCCCGCGCGCTGCAAAGCGCCACCCCCCACACCTTCCATGGGCTCCCCCACCCCCACCCCCACGCTCACGACCGCCCTCCTCTCCGGCGACGTGAGGGCATCTCCTCCTGCATATTCTCCGTCCCAGAGCCCCATTCTCAAGCCCTCCCGGCCCCCGGCCCCCCGGCCCCACCGCGCTCCCCCGGGTCCGACAGCCGGCTGACTCACCCGCTCACGCTCCTCCGCCATCGTGAGCCCCGTCTCCGGCCGGGAACTCCAGTCCCGCCTGCCACCGAAGATCTCCGCCCGCCCCGTCCACTCTTTCGCCTGATCCGCTCAAATACGTCGCGTTGGCGGGCGGCCGGATCGTCCTCCGGAGTCACCAGGCCGGACCGGACCGGACAGGACTGGATCCAGTCCGTCCAACACAGACGGAGAGAGAGAGAGAGAGAGAGGGAGAGAAGAGAGAGAAGAGAGTCTGCGAGAGGACGGGCTTGTCGTTTGCGGTTGACGATCAGTCTGACCGCTTTCAGCAGGTCGTCAGATTTCGTTCGCTGAGGGAAGCCGATCATGACCTGCTTCCTGCCCGGCCCCCGCCTGCCCGCCCGCTCGGACGACGCCAAGCCCGAAGACGTGCACAGGCATTATTATTGCATGCAGGCGACATGCGCAGGTCCTCACACGTAGAGCGCGAGCTTTCGCTTTATCGCCGGAATCGCATTTGCGTCTCCGCTCTCCGGCTGCTTTCGCTGCCCACGTTGCCAGTCTGCCCATGCCGCTGCCTCTGCCGTCTGCTACCCGGCAGCCCCACTTTGTCTGCGTGTGGCACGGTCAGCTAAAAAGTGCTCGCCTACCCCGTTCGATCCCGTCATCCGACGGCAAATGAGCCAACCCATTCCGTTGGGTCTCCGTTCGGTGACCTCTCTCTCTCTCTGCGGACCGTAATTTTGGATCTCTCTCTCTCTCTCTCTCTCTCTCGTACGACGTACTCCACGTTTTGGCCCGACCCGGCCTGAAATTTTCGCCCGGCCTGCAACGAATTTGGGGCCCCGAAGTTTCCCGCATTTACAGACGCATTGTGCAGCGCAGTCGGATGCGACTCGCGGATTGGGTGGGGAGAAATCTGTTTCCATGGCGATTCGATTGATCGTAGGAAAGGAGCTCGGCCGGGCGTTACAGCCTCTTTGTGTTGGCCACTGGTTTGTGGACCATCGTTCTTGGCGGAGCTTGAGGGGTGCCCCACATTGACCTCCTTCGACACCGTTGAGTTGAGAGGTCGGGGTGGTGGGAGACCATGCCCACAGAGCGTGAAGTCCTCGGAGGTCTTCTGGACCGGATAGATCGTCTTCGTCTGATGTTTCTCTGTTGTCACTCTTGAGATCTCTCTACACTTGTCGAATTCCGATCCTCGAGGTCCGAAGTCGTTCCTTTCGTTTCTTGTTTCCAATAATCAGAAGGAATTAAAAAAATGTGAAATATACTTTCTGTCACGTGTTGCACGAGGGCACGGAGGAGAGCCGTCTAGGTCTGAAGAATACGGAGGTAGCCCTTACGTCAGTCGTATCCCGAGGAAGTGCCTTGTTGGCAACACCCCCTTCCCTGATCGTAGGGTAGATTTCATTAGAAAGGAGGCGGTCGACAGCAATGAAAACCGCGAGCCCGAACTCTCTTGTTTCAGCACAGATGGATTGCCAGGGTTGATGTTCTGTGTTCCGTGTGCTTCATGGATGGAAGGATCGGAAGATAGAATCATGATAGTTGGAAATTGACTTTCCAGCCCTTACTCAAAAGGCAAACGAGTGCCGCCGATAAGCTCGTAGCCAAGGATGTAGACTCGCCTTTGAAGTGGAAGACGAAATCAAAAGACCAAAATTGAGAGACTGGTGTCTCTTAACTTTGGGTAGACCATTGACTTGTTGATTGTGCTTCAAAAAGCTGGCCACCGAAAACATCTGGTGATAAGGAGGAAAGGTGGATTCAAACCATCGTTCCATCTGGCAGTCGTCTTGCTTGCGACGATAGTGCAAGCAAGCTTTTGCGGAAGAAGAGCGCAAAGTGAATACTCGCGAGCAAATTCATAAGCAAGGCACACTTTGCCCGATTTTCGGACAAAAGGCCGCCCAAGTCGAAACAAAACCGAATCAGGTCGCAACTCAAGCTTCAATGAATTTTATAAGCCAGAGTTGCCATCGTGAAGTAAAAGTGGAACAAAGCTCAATGTTCCCCGGTCCGCGTGATGACGATTACCAAACTCTTGCATCAACCGAAAGTCGATTCCGTGTCGAACATGAAAGATCGTGAGTTAGATCGACAAAATCTTGGTGCCCAGCATTTCGAACGAGCTCGCGCATGGCAGAGCTCGCTGGGATTTTAGACAACGGCGAAACGTCGGGCCGGGGCAAATACGTGATTACGGGGGAGGTGCGACTGGTTTTGGAGATCTGCTCCAAACAAATGTGGGAGGGAGCCCGAGGCCACAAACCACACCAACAAAAAAAAAGAATTACAGTATCGACGTGCCCGGTCCAGTTCATCTCATGGAGGCGCTACCTGGCGAACGAGGGACAGCTGGATGGTCCAACCAATGTCGCCGCTTTCCACAGCCCTCTTGGCAGGGTTGGACACGTGTCAAGCGCGCAAGAAAAGACAGGAGTTCGTTTGCTAGCGAGCTATGTCCGCTGCATGACACTCCCATTGAGCTCCTGCAGATGATATTCATCTCCCAGGTATTCAATATAAAACGTCCACTCCGCCCGAATCCCCCGAGAGCTCCTAGTGGGCTCCGCCCGCCAATGAGCAGGCGCCGAGCAAGCCCCATGCGGTCGGGTGGGGGACGGAGAAACAGTTCCTAGCTGGAGATGCAAATTGGCAGCTCAGCTCAGCTCAGCTCCGCTCGCCTGGTTCGAAAATACGGCCGCATCGATCAGCGGCACCCTTCTGGAGAGAATCCCGTAACGTAAACCGCTGGAGCCGAAACGGTTCCGTAAACGGCTCGTCCGCGGTCGCGCCGACCGACTACGCCGGTCTCTCTCCCAGTTTCATGGAGTCCTCTTTCGTGGACCTGGGCGGGGCGACCGTCCGTCCGTCCGCTCGAGACCCGGGGCCTCGCGGAATGTTCGAGAGCTCAACCGGGCCCTTGCTCCCTGCGCCCGACGGTCCGGGGACGCTGACGACGCCGTCCATAGAATTGCTTGCCCGGAGCGGATCCACAGAGGCGCCGGGCAAAGTATCTTTCGTGCAGCCCCGCGGCGAGAGAGCCTGGCGACCACCAGTTCAGGATAGCCCGAAGCGAGCGAGCGAGCTACTGCATCCGTGAGCAGCGAGCCGTCGTGTCTCTCCGCAAGCTCCAACCGAAGGAGGGATTTCTTCGATGTGGCTCTCGATGACGAGGGCACAGGCTCTGCACAGGCTCGCAGAGCACGTGCCAAGACGTTCTGGTAACCCAATCGCTGCTGCTGCTTCTGTATGCCAATTCGAGACGTACACGTCGGATCTGAGACGGATCGCTGTACTTTTGGACTGCAGTTCATTCCTGTTCGTGCGCGTGGTGTCCACCTCAGATCCTGCAACTGTAACCATCAATGTTCACATCTTTGAGCAGATCGGTTACTGTGTTACGGGCCTGCTCGCCGACTGACCTGACCTGACCTGACCGACCGACCGACCCTTCACAGGTGGACTCACCGAGTGGACCACCACAACATGTACTGTACTGTGCCGAAGAGTGTACTTCGTTGGCGTACACTGTACTGTAGTTCGGAGATGACAAGCTATCGTACTCGCTGCTCAACCGCGTCCACTGCAACTATCAGGTCACGCAGAGTTAGCCACAATATCTAAATTTAGTCCACCATCGCAAAATTGTGAACATCGAAATGTTGTGGACCACATTATTGTAGTTTAATTTAGTTTTGGAACAAAAGCGCTAGAATCGGAGATGTGTTTTTTTTTCATGGGTGCAAACTTTAAGCAACTATTGTAGAAGTTGACCATCTTCATACTGAATAATTTATGTGTGTGGTGTACACAGTATTTCATCATACAAACATGATCTAATACACATGTCTTCTCAACATAGTTCATATTAAACAATTTTCATTGAGAAGTGAACTTTCATAAAATTTCATACAAGAAAGTGTAATGTGAATAATAATTTTTTCTGTTTTTTTATGCCAACAAACTAACACCTTATTATGTTTTAAATGAGTTGGTTCTAATTTTCCTCTTCCTGTATGTTCTATGTATATATATATATATATAGAATATTCTCTATAGTATTGGAGAGCTATCTTGAACTACAGAATCTGATTTAATGTTCTTGTGAAAAAATCTGAAAAACCGTAAGTGCTAGACAGAAGTAAATTCATTTTTCCTTTACTATTAAAAAGAGTACTTCAAGCAACATATTTTCTTTTATATATAAAGGGCACTAGCCATTGTTTTACATATAAGAATCATTGCGTTAGGTGATGGAGTGTTAAAAATTATAGTTAACGATTTATCATTTGCTTTAAATTGAATTATATATATATATATATATATATATATATATATATATCATTATAATCCTGTTGATATCTTAATTCTAAGAACTTATAGATGTATTTCATGTATGATTTGATATAGTATGTTTATCTTGTATAGCCTCTATTGTATAAAAAGTTGTATATAGTGTTATATGTATTACATAAACTTTGAACATAAGTATTTTGGGTTAATCTGAAGTTTTTCAGTCTAGTCATTTTTAAATTTAGAGGAATAGAAAATTTGAGTTGCATTTTCTTTGATACTTTTTTAATTTTTTCCCAATTTTACCATTTAAAAAAATTGGTAAATGTGAAATATATTATATGAAATTATGTAATTTTAATTTAAGTACCTGAAAATTTAGTGTGTTTAGCATCAAAGTCATATCCATCATCCAACATGTTGAAATGGTAGAAAGTATTCAAACCTTGAAACATTGAATGTTTATATATTCAAAAAAAAATTCAAATTAATGTGTGAAACATAGTTTCAAAATCTTATGTTATAAAATATCTTTCTTATCTACTAGTTTTTGTATTACAAACGTAAGCAACTTCAAAGAAGTTTCACTAGAATTTTATGAAACTTGGCTTACTCATGCAATATGATTAAATACGATCTACACAAATAAGGTTTCACTTTGGCTCAATGCATCAACTTTCATATCATTTTTCACACATGAGTATGATGCAATTGCTTGAGATGCGATATAGACTTATATGAAATTTTTGCCTTCGTTGAAAGTCAAATGAAAACTACTTATAATTT